CATCTTTTGTCAGGTTTTAGTGCTTATTGCACATAAATATTACCCTGCTTGTAAGTAATATTTTTGATGTATGGTATGTTGATGTAGGCTTTGATTTCTTGTTTTGTTTCCTTTAGACCTCTTCACAAGAGGAATTGACATTCAAGCTGTGAATGTTGTGATCAATTTTGACTTTCCCAAGCTGGGAGAAACATACCTTCATCGCATTGGTAGATCTGGTAAGAGTCCGTACTGATCAATATTTCTTTTGTATGAAGAATTATTCATCAGCAATTGGTATTGATAAAAAACCAAAAAAACAACACTGTCACCATCCAGGCCGCTTCGGACACTTGGGTCTCGCCATCAACCTCATCACCTACGATGATCGCTTCAACCTGAAAGGGATTGAGGAGCAGCTTGGAACAGAGATCAAGCCCATCCCTGGCATCATCGACAAGAGTTTATATGTGGCAGAGTACCACAGCGAGAGTGGCGAAGAAGTCAAGCCATGAGCCAGTGAGTACACACACACACACACGCACACACACACACACACACACAGAATTCACCCAAGTCAATATAAAGGATAATGTCGTGGTGATCAGTATAACAACAATAAAAAAAAAAAATGGCATCATTTGACTTGTTGATGGATGTGCCTGATCTTGGATCTTAATATTGGGTATTTGCAGATACCATGGTTGATCAGATTTTTAATGTCATTGAACATGTATGTTGAAATAACGGGTGTAGCCTGTTTAATTTGACACACTTTTAAGGGGCTTCCTTGTCTAAGTACTGGATTTCCAGATTCCAGAAATATTTTAAATTCGTAGACAAATGAATTGATATCAGTCATTTTCCCAGAGAAGAGTCTGGAAACTGTAGATGCACTTGTTTGCAGTTTTTCAGTGATATTGACACTCGTTTGTATAAAGAAGAGCAGTGCTGCGACACTGATGATTTGAGGTGGACAAGACTAAAGAGGGTGTCAGTATTTATTTGGGTTAATTTGTCAGTAGTTGAAGAGTATGAGGCCGACTGTAGGCTACATATAATCTATAAACACAAAAGTAATGGTGAGAGTGATTTCACTTTGCTGTAGTTTTAAGTCGTCTGTGCATTCATCTGAAACAATAGCCTTGACAAGGGTTGGTGCTGCAGTCATTGTTCAGGCAGACACAGATAACTTCCCTTCTGGCCCCATCGTCTACTTTAGAAAAAATATTATGGACCATATGGTTTTTTTTTTGTGTGTGTGATTTTACCCACATTCAAAAACTCAAGTGAAACAAAAGTTATTAGTCATACAGTGCAATTTAAAAACTACAAAGTAGCAGCATCTAGAGGCTTCTAATCTAAACACACTTTAAGTACAACACTACATCAAGGCTGCTTGCAGCATTGGTTTAAATTAAATGATCCACAAATGTTTTCCAAAAACAACAAATTTATTGTAAAATGTCTGGAGTTTTACAAAAATGTCCACACGTGTCATAGTTACTCTATTAATAATTCGGCATTGTAATCTGGATTAAGTATCTTCAATACCACAGTCTATTCTTACTAAATTGTTCTCTCTCTCTCTTTCCAGATCAGTCCACCCCCCCCCTTCCCCTGCATACCTATTTTCACCCCCTCACCCCAGCCAACCCCACACCCCATCTTGGAGTTTTTTTCTTTTCTTTTTTTTTTTATGTACAGTTTTTGTCTGTCTTCCTTTTTTGGATGCCACAATAAGGAATGTGTATTTCGCTGGATGCATTTCCGAGGAACTCATTTGCCTTTTCATAGGGCTTAAGTGCTGCGCCAACCACACCTGAAGACATAAGCACCGCGGAGGAAAGCACGGGACAAAGTTGAAAATATCGATGCGCATCGTGAAGATTCATATCCACCACTGACACAAAGCCAGCACCGACAGACCCCCCCCCCTAAAAAACGACACCCTCCCATTCTCCACTTTTAATTTAAGAAGTTTTAAACAATTTGTATCAAGTGCCTTAACAAGCAGTTCAAGTCGTTCTAAAGTAATAACTCTTCATAGTCCTCCATCCTGGTCACTTCATACCACACACTCACCTTCACCCAATTCTCAAGTCGTCACACTAATGTCTGACCACACAGATGAAAGCGTAAATGTTTTTCCGTTGGTTCATCCGTTTGCAAGGAATGGAAATATCTAAATGATCTTTCTGCTGGCTTGGTTGCACTTGAGTCTGGCTGATAAATGAGGACAAACTTGGATATTCCATGGACAGAGATGCTGGATTTTTTCCAAGAGACAGCCAGACTGTCCAGTTGCTTGTGAAGGAGCTTGTGCTTCTAAAAGACCCAGACCCTTTCCTCCGTCTTCAGCATCAGAACACTAAAAATGAACAAGCAGCCTCTTAACACCATGAGACATGAGGATTCCTGTTTTTTGTGGAGTTTAATCGTAGGGAACGCCCTTTTTCTTTTCTCTTGTTGTCCTGTGTTTCACCTCCCTATGGATGGCCATACTTAATTCTGCAAGATGTGCAGTAGACGTGGGGTGCACCATACACCTTTTGTATATACCTTCATTTTAAGATTGTTTTAAACAAGTTCAAAAGGCTGGCTGACGAGCTGCAAAGCTTTTTTTTTTCTCCCCTTTCTCTTGTTAGCACTGGAGACTGTTTCTTTAACTGCCAGTTTGTTTGATCTGCAATATTGGCCTGTGACTTTATTTATAATTTTAAAAATTGCAGAATTTATCGGAATCTAAAACATTTAAATGACCTGTGCGCGCGAAATGTTTTTGGAGGCAGAGTTAATCACTGATAATCTTTTTAGCCCCTCCGAATGTAATGGCTAGTGCAATCCTTTAAAGCGGCACTTATACTAACAACGGTTTCAAACTGTTGCCCTATTCTCCTGCTACCAGTGTTAACAAGTGCTCAGTCTAGGCAGATGGCTTTGTGAAGCTTGTCCATTTGAGTAATGAATTATTTTGTTGTCACCAGCCTTAACTTGTGAAAGTGACTGTCGAGACGCACATGAAGATCTCCAGTTACAGTGAGTCTTGTTGGAAAGAGAAAATATTATTCTATCGTGTAGTCGTACTACTCGCTGCAGTGCAGCTGAATTGGCAGAGAATTCGTTTTCTGGAGGAGGTATTAGCTGTTACGTTGATCTGTGCTCTTTAAGCACAGCTACATTACTTAACAAATGTCGGGTAGGATGCTGTGGTTTTATCCCCCCTTATTATTTGTTTTATTTTATTTTGGGAACAATGTCTGCCCAATGCATCAAAATGAACCATCGGGCCCGAAAATGTAGCAGGAATTCATTCTCTGTGCATTGCAAGTTTAGCTGGCATTCGCTAAAGACCAGTTAACAAAAGAGGCTTTTCTAAAAAACCGACCTGAGCAGGTTGAGCTGCACTTAAACGCACAGAGATGGGTTCCGGCAATAACACTGACTTCACTGTTTTTTGTACACTCATGATGCCCAAAGCAGAGAGAAGTGTTTGTTGGTGCAGAAGATATATAGAAAAAAAAGAATTTGGCATGGAGGGTAATGGGCATGAAGGATAACAAATGCACTATTGTCAGACTGCTTGATTTAAAGAGGAAAAAAAACATGGGCACCTCAGAATTTATGGCTTATTTCCCTGAGCTCTTTTTGCTTTGATGTTTTGTGTGTATGTTTTTGCATTTTCATGCAACAGAACAGCCTCAATTTGCGTTAAAATCTTCTGACCGTTCGTTTGTCCAGTCGGAAGCTTTTTTTGCAAAATGAGATTCCCCTTAATGATGGTGAGATGCTCTCTCGACAGTTCCAATCAATGAGAAGTGTTATTGCACGTTCAATTTAAGCTCTTTTTAAAAGGATAACAAGTGTGATAATGTTAATAAGTTGAAGATTTACCCTTTTATTTCTCATTGGTTAGGACTGTGATCCTTGTTCACTCAATTCTGTTGTCGCCCCAAGATACTTGAACATCTAATTTGGCTGTTAAGAATTTTTTTGGGTGGGTTGGGGGGGGGGGGTGTGTTTGACTAAAAAGAAAAAAGTAAATTATTGAAGGCATTAGTTGAGTGAACAGGGATCTAATTGTGCAGGCACTTGGCAGCTGTCTGTTTGTTGTCAACCCACTGTTAGTAACTGCCCAGCGACTGCTTTCAAAGCAGCAGATCAACAATCCTTTGCTGCCTTGTGACAAGATGCTGCTTTACTACCAGTGGCTGACATCGCTGCCTTAAAGACTGAGACAAGAGCATCTTGCCCTGGATCGGGTGACTAATTGGAAAGTTTGTGTAACCAAAATTGTCTCATTCTTTAAGGTAATTTTTCTTTTTAAAATTGCGGGGTGGTTAAATTTGTGCACTCGCTGCCCTGATGCAATCGTTGGTCCTCCCCCGTACACATTTACGAAAACGCAGCTTGCTGCGTACAAATTGGCAACTCCATCACTAATCTGCGGAGGAGGATCTGAGAGGAGTCCCTCAGGGGGTTTCTTTCAAACGGATGCATCAGTAATAACATGGGGAGGAGGAGCCTTTGGTGCTTCACAAAAACAACTCTATGGAACGATCCAAAGGTTAAGACGATGGGTATAAAAATGTTTTGAAAAAAAAAAAAAGTTGCCCTTAGATTTGGATTCTTTTTGTTTGTTTTTCCAAGGAAATGTTCAAGTGGAGTACACCTTATTTCAAATAAGTATCCAAATTTAAGTGAAGATTTAAAGCCTGAGTTCATTTTTTTTTTTTATTTGTTGGAAATTTGGTCATTACGTAATTGGCAGATTTATTTTCAGTGGAGCTAATTTTACAGTGGACTTCAGTTCAAAGGATGTCGTGAAAATCATTGGGCACATTTAGTTGGAAATAAAGCTCACTGAAATTTAATGTGTGTTGTGTTTTCTCTGTCTTCTTATCTCTGAGTTTGAGTTCTCAGAGCTCAGTGTGTCCCGGCTTTCAGTTCTGATCATAAACTATTTCCCAGAGGCTCATGTTAGATCTGCTCTCATATTAGATCTGCTCTCAGATCAGGCGCTCTCCTTCTCTGGTGTCACTTCAGGTTTCAGCTCAAGATGAACAGACTGGTGTTGCTTTGTTTTTCATCAGCTGCTTTTCTTGCCACTGTAAAGAATGTTTCTCCACCACCATGTGACAGGTAAGATTGAAATAAAACAAATTTGACTTTTCACCAGTCTAGGTAGACTATGAAAACCACTTCCCTATAACTTAAGGTTATAGTTTATTTCAAACTTTTCTAAACAAGGGAATATAAGTGTCAGCTACATAATCAGTAGAAAGTTCTTATTGCTTCTTGGCTGCAGAATTTACCACTTTAACTTGAAAGAGCCATATTCTTCCAAAAATTGTCTTGGAATATAAAAATACTATGAATGCAAATTATATAACATTCAGTAATATGACTTTAATTTACCATTCCTATGAATTGAAACTTTGTCAAATTACTCGTCTTGTAGGATTTCTTTTATCTACAAACATTCCCTTGATGTGTTTGAATTCACAGGTAAAACTATAAGAAATTCACTGGCAGAAATGCAGATCATTTTTGCTGCTTGACCCAAATTTGTGGATTTTGTTTTAGTAAAATTTGAATCCTCCACCTGCTGCAGCCTGTAAACAGAGTCACTTTTAATATTTCCTTGTACAGTTATTCTCCTTTCAGCAGATATGAAGCTGTAAACAGACCTTTGCCCTCAGCTGCAGGTTCTTAGAGACGTTGATATGGTTTTATTGCTTCTCTGCAGGACTCGAACCAGAAAGAGTGTTGTACTAATGGGGTCGTGGCCTTTTAAGATAAACAGTTTAATAATTCACAACTCTTACAATTTATTTCAGTGAAATATATTGTACTGGGCCCATTTTACATCAAGTCCAGAAAGCTAAACTGTTCCATGATGACAAATACTTTGTTGACATGAAGCTTAAGGCAAAACCTGGTGAGTAAAGTAAGTAATCTCATTTATTTTTACAAATTCTATTTTATTTCTTTTACAAACCCTGTGCATTGTTGTGTCTGTTCCCTGCAGATGTTGTTTTGTCAGCTTTTCACAACCTTTCAAATGAAATGCCAAACGGGACCGTGCCGCCCGACAAGCTGCAGGAGTTCCTCACTGTGTACTTTGAGAACCCGGGGTCAGAGTTTGAGCCATGGACGCCACCAGACTGGCACGAAAAGTGATACCTTCAAGACTCCTTCTCAGCTCTGCTTGTATTTTTAATTGATGTTCGATAATGCAAGTTGACTCGTTTTAACACGCAGGCCAAAGTTCCTGGAAGGAATTGTTGACGTGAAACTACGTGACTGGGCTGAAAAGATTCATCATCTGTGGAAGTCTCTGGGCAGAAAGGTGATGATTTGAGGGTTGAATAATCATTGAATTCACTTTTGGAACAACATGCACAAAATTCATACATTTAAGTTTCACTTTTTTTTTTTTTGATGAATTTCTGTGCTGTTGATTGGACAAAGATCAAACACCACTGCCAAGGCCCAACAGGTTCCTTAAATTCATATAGAGCCACACCAAATTTCACACAGAAATCAGTCCTTAAATACACATGACTTGTTATTTGGGAAAATCAGGAAATAATGGAAACAACATTCTGAGTTTCCACCAAGTTTTGTGAAAAAGAAGCGAAAAATGAAAATGACATTCAGAGAATAACTGCCCTCCATCCAACAGTCCCCCAATAAATCCATATTTAAATTCCCTTGTTTTGGATTTTTATTTGGATCCAGATCAACTTTACACACTCAGCTCTAAGAAATTAACAAAATGCGAAACGCTATAACTCACAGCATTAAAGAAATAGAAAAAGAGATTGTGGATCTGGAAAATGTAATGGGTTTGTCCCTGACCATTTTCACAAGTTTTCCGATAATCCATCCAATATTTTCGCATTATCTTTCAATTAACCAGACAAACCAACCAATGAGCTAATAGACAAAAACATTGAACAACCTTAAATTAAAAAAACAAAACAAAAAAACGTATTCTTGTTGCAGCATTTTTTAACATCCACCAACGTGCATCCTGAGTCCAGGGATTATAAATTTAAAATGATTCTTTCTCCAGATGTCCTCCGGTGTTAAAGATCACCCCGAGCTCTACTCGCAGATTCACATCCCACATCCTTTTGTTGTGCCTGGAGGGCGCTTTAGGGAACTTTACTACTGGTGAGTGAAGGATGAAGCCTGTCAGTCGGTTGTCTCTCAAATTAAAGACGAGCCTCGACAGTGACGAGAGATCACAGCCAGACCCAGAGATCCCACCAAAATGCTGTGTGCACACAGTGACGTTTGCCGCTCTGTGCCCGACAGGGACTCCTACTGGGTCGTAAACGGCCTCATGCTGTCAGAGATGACAGACACGGCCTCAGGGATGATTCAAAACTTCCTCTACCTTGTTAACAGGTGAGCCTTAAAGCATCTTTCATCTCTTAAAGCACCTGACAGGTAGTTGAGCTCACTCATTTTGAATAATAAGTCATTTACACGTTGGAGACGGAGCACTTAAGCGGAGCGGATTTCAAGATTTGGGGAATATATGATTTTTTTCCCCCCTCTCTCTTCCAGATATGGCTTTGTTCCAAATGGTGGGAGGATTTACTATGAAAAGCGCAGTCAGCCTCCATTCCTCACTCTAATGGTGGAGAGCTACTATCAAACAACCAAGGATAAAGATTTCCTCAGGTGATATTTAGGCCTGAGCTGATGTCCTGCCAGACGTGTTATCATTCCTCTGCTGCCTTGCAGGGAAGAAGAAGAAAAAAGGAGCCATATTGAACCTCAAAGCATCCCTGACTGCCTGCAGTGCTTTTGTTTTTCCCATCATGCTTTGTTGAAATGTGACCCCCTCCCTATCCTTTGTGTTAAATGATTTTTAATGGCTAAAAACATACCTCCTGTTGTTTGTGCAAACTTTTCAGAGGAGCTTTACCAGCTCTGGAGCAGGAGTACGGCTTTTGGATGCAGAACCGTTCTGTGGCCGTGATGGTCGACGGGGCCGAGCACCTGCTGAACCGGTATCATGTGGAGGTGGGCCGGCCCAGGTACGTCTCAAAGAAATCTAAATCTAAATAACCAGGATGAAGAACATAAACAAAATACAGCAACAATGAGAATGATGATAATGACTTACATTTTTATAGTGCCTTTAAAGGGACCCAAGGACACTTAATATATTTAAAGATGAAGGCAAAGCAAGTTTTTTTGTACAGCACATTTCAAAGTGTTTTACATAAAATACAAAAGACATCATGACAAATTGTAAAAGTAACATAAGACAATACAAAAAAAGCATTGACTACAGAGTAAAATTAAAAAAATATATTAAATTTGGAAGTGAACGGGCAGCAAAGGTTCACCCCTGAAACTTTTACGTATGTGTGACCGGGCCCTAATGCTGCTGCTGCTGGAGGCGCGGCCTAATGTTACCTGCCCGCTCTGATTGGATCACTGTACCAACACCCCTCTTATTATTGATCAGTTTTATAAAGACTAATTAACAGAGGACCCAGCATAGAGCCTTTTTAAAAAAAGCCACGTGAATATGTGATCTGGATTAATGGAGTAGAAAGGACGGATATTTGCTTCTATTTGGTGATGTATTTATATGTACCGGAAAGTAAATCTAAAAGTAAGTAGTATACTATCAAAATACATGTACTGTGTTACATGTCACTGCTCATAGACATCAATCCATCCATTTTGTTGAGATGAAATGTTAGAGCTCTAATGCTTCTTTTGTTCTTTCCAGGCCTGAATCATACACAGACGACCTGGAATTAGCTGAAGGACTCACTGACGGTAATGTCTTATTATTGTTCACACCCCCTCCCCTCATGAGAACTATTACCCTCCGACAGCCATTTCACTCAATGAAAAAAATGCTGTGGGTTCCTTAGTCCTGGAATGAAAGTAATGTGTTTTATAATCAGGCCTCAGCAGAAAAGAGGAATAAATTACCCTGGATTCACGAAACGTCTGAGCAAAACAAATTTGCGCCGAAAATACCTCAGCACTGTGTTGTAATGAATATTTAATGTTAAACACCTTCGTTCTTTCACATCACCTCTGAACACATTGACCATGTTTAATAAAAGCTGTTTGAGGGAAAATGCTGAGCTGAAATGTTTAATATTTCTCTAATTTCTGTTCCCCTTGTGTAGGAAAAGATGCTATCAAAAAAAAGGCAAGGTCATTTAGTTATTTAGACAGAAACATGTTATTCAGATGCAGCAATTTTTTACTTTTTCACTCCCAGTGAAGAAACAAGACATAATGAACAGTCAACACAGAGTAGATGCTGGTTTGTTGCAACACTTTCAGTGACTTTACGTCTTCTCTTGCCCTCAGATGATAAAGAGCAGCTGTGGATGGATCTGAAAGCCGGTGCAGAGTCTGGTTGGGACTTCTCCTCCCGTTGGTACATTGATGGTGACGGCCACAACAGTGGCTCCCTCAGAGACACACGCACCAGCCTCATCCTGCCCACTGACCTCAACGCTCTGCTGTGCCTCAACGAGAAAACTCTGGCTTCATTTCACAGGATCCTGGGTGAGTGTTGGAGCAGCGGCTGACCTTGAAACTGTAACTTTGGTCTGCACACTGCATTGAGCTCCCAACTGGTGTTACGTAACTGTTGATGTGCTGGTTCCTGACAGGTGACGGTGAGTCAGCCGCTCAGTATGACAAGGCCGCGGCCCGCAGACAGGGGGCGATGGAGGCGGTGCTGTGGGATGCTGAGAGGGGAGCCTGGTTTGACTACAGCCTGATGACGCACTCCAGACACGTCGAGTTTCACCCCTCCAACCTGTCACCTGTTTGGGCGCAGTGCTATTCTCGGCCCGAGATGGGGGAGAGGGTGGTGCAGTATCTGAAGGTCGGTGCAGACTTCACTGTGATGTCAATTCTTTAATTAATGTGGAGGAATATTTATCATTAAAGGGTCAGTTCATCCAGATAAGAACAAATTATTTCCGATATTTTTCTAGTTATTAAGTGTTCTGCGGATTTGAGACATTTCTCTATTTGATATTTGTTTTGCCTCCACCTCAAGTAAATTTCTTATTTTTATGTGCATCCGAACATTTAATTAATTAATCTAATAAAAAATCGACAATATGACATCTCCCTTAAATGACAAGCATGGCTGTCTGCTGTATAGGATATAAATCCTCACCTCCTCCATGTTAGTGGATGTTTTCTGTCATTTTACACCGATCTATGTTCAAATGTTCATTTTCCTGGTAAGTTTGTTTTGAATTAGTTATTGAGGTGTATCGACAGGACCTGGATACCGCAGCTTCACACCACGATCACGACTGCACAGACTCATAATGACGAAGTGAAGCTGAGACATGTTGTCCATGTTTATTTATAGTCTCTGATCTTTACTCTCCAGCCAAAAAAAAATTGTAGGGACTAGTTCATCACATGGAAGTGGTGCCAGGAAAAGAACAAACAAAAAATACAAAACAAGAGGCAGTTAAATACTTCAAAATCAAATTGTGTATTTAGCCTATTTGTGCAAAAGAAGCCTTCAACCTTGATTTATCCAGATGTGGTTGCACCTCTGCACACAGCTGCCCAGAAAAAAACACTTCTGTGTTTTATGAACAGTGCGCACTTGCTCCAGCAGATGGCGCACACACACTACACATCATCAATGCATGTTCTCCATATTGGGTTCCATGTGCGTTCAGGGGAGTGGTGCTCTTCGGTTTCCCAACGGAGTTCCAACATCGCTGAGAGAGTCTGGGCAGCAGTGGGACTTTCCTAACGCATGGCCGCCGCTACAGCACATGCTCATCAGTGGTAGGTCGTCAGGAATGATCTGCCCCCAGGAGAATTCCCCATCCTGATGATTCACCAACTGCTGAGCATCTTGCTCTGTTGTCTGTGACCAATATTTTATGGAAATTATTGATTTATTGATTGATTTTTTGATTGATTCCTTTAGATTCCTTAGATATCATGTTTAATTTGAGGCTGTTTACATCCACATCCTTAAAGGCGTTGTGGAATTTAAAACAATCAGAGGTTGTGTTTGCTGATTTCTCATCAAAACATATTGTGTGTATCATGTAGATTAATTGTTTGATTGATTGATCGCTGATCAGGAATCTTGCTTTCCTTGACTTTATGATCATTATCCTGCTGAATTTTGCTGTAACTGGGGACTGTGTATTAACAGAAATCACACAGGATCATGACTTCACCAAATATCTTGTACCCAGTCTGCTGGAGTAGAGACCCGACACAATGAAAATGAAGTTGCTCTTTATGCTTGAAGAAGAGTTTCTTGGGTTTGTCTAATGATTGAAATCCTATCGTCTCTCCAGGTTTATCCAAACTACCGTCAGACGATGCTCAACAACTAGCGTTTGATTTGGCCCAGCGCTGGATCAGGACAAACTGGTTGGCATACATGAAGTACGACGCCATGTTTGAAAAGGTGACTCTTTTAAGGTTTATCAGTGCTGGTGTTGCTTGGTGATAGCACAGCTGGCTCAGGATCTGTGTTTTTCCTCTTCCTCCTGACAGTACGATGTGAATGGAGATGGCAAACCTGGTGGTGGAGGAGAATATGAAGTTCAGGTATTTACTTTCATGTGTTGATGCTGTAAAACCAATGTGCTTAGATTCACACTCGTCCTTCTAATTTTATGCAAAGCCCTGTCAATTCTCTCTATCTCACTTCTTAGCTAGAACACATTTGCATGCTCATGTGCATATAAATATATATAAATATATATTTAGATATATAATCTCACTCCTCCGTTCTTCTTTGTCGCTTTTTACCTCCTCCAAGCAGGTTATGTTTTTGCCCTCATCTTTTTGTTGGTTGGGTTGTTTGTTTGTTTCTCAGCAGCACTACACAAAAACTACAAAAACACATTTCTGTGTGCAACGATGGAACATGAGCCAAGAAGGAACCCATTACATTTTGGCACAGATCCAAACAAAGGCCATGATCGTTTTTTTGCATTTTTTTCCTCTTGCCCCAGATCATAGAGGTCCCTGGTTCAATACCCAGCTTGGCCAGGCTTCTGGGTGTAGTTTGCATGCTCTGACTGTTCTGCAGCGGCTAATGTTTGTTGTTTGAGCTCTTAAATATGTTGTTTAACCTTGAAACATGGTCTCTTGTCCCTACAGATTTTAACCAGCCATTGTCTCTCCAGTTGCAGATCAGTTAAGAAGCAGTGAAATAAAATTTGTCAGATTCTCAGTATTTATGACTCTTAAAGGTCCAGTGTGTAAGATTTAGGTGAAATGGGTCTAGTGGCAGAAATTGAATATAGAATACTAGATTTCACCTGTGTGATCATCTAAGTTGTACAAATTGTTCTTTTCTTTATGGTCCCTTTATATTTAAATACTTTTAATCAGGAAGGGATACTCTCTACGGAGGCTGCCATGTATTTTTGCAGTAGTCCAAACTGGACAAACTGCAACATGCAACTTCACCACTAGAGGTCAATTAATTTTACACACTGAACCTTAAAACCTTGATTACACAAAAGGCTGTGGAGTGAATATGGTCTATTGGAGACGAAACTGTCTGTAGGTGTGAATGTGACCCTCAATGGATAAGAAGTAAATATAATGGATAATACATGAATATTGATACAAACCAGCCAGTTTAGGGAACTGATATCTATGAGTGTGTGTAGTTTGGTTTCATAGAGAGTAGGGATTTTTTCAGCTGCTGCACAGTAATAAATAGAGCAACAAACCTGTAACCAACACCAATGTGTAGCTCTGGTAGGATTACACTTCACATTCTAGTTGCCTCCACCAAGGAGATTGTGTTTTTGTCTGCGTTTGTTTGTTCATTAGCACAATTAGGTAAAAACTTGGTGGATGGATCGATAAAGAACCAATTCAATTTTGATGCGGATCCAGATCAGGGTGCAGATGCAGGGATTTCTCTTTTTTTTGCTTTCTTTAACATTTCCCTTTTTTGTGCAAAATTCATGGATCTTAATTCTCAGAGTTTTCAATGACTTATTTTATCCTTTGCTATCATGCTTAATGAAACGAAAACCATCCCTTGCTCTCCACTGTGTCACCCCGTTGTGTAGCTGGGTTTTGGTTGGACCAACAGCGTGGCCCTGCAGCTCCTGGAGCAGTATGGGGCAACGCTCACCTCAGGAAGCCAGCAGGTGTCTCCTGGTGTCCTGCTGCCTCTGGTCATCTCAGCCGCTCTCATGCTCCAGTGAATCACAGGTGACAACAGAGTCTGACTGGTCGTTGGATTTTATTATTCTCTGGTTTCACTGCACTACATCACTTCTGTGCACCAACTGACACATTGACTTAAGAAATAAGATATTTTGTCCACATCCTTGAGGAAAAGGAACAAAAAACTTTCATTTGCAAAAGGAGCAGGATGTGATTTATAACGGATACTCTTTTTAGAAAGAAATTTGATCCCTGGTGTTGTTGGAAGATGCAGATTATTCAGGGTTTTAAAAAAATATGACATACTAGGTCTGAAATATATTTAAGTAGGTCTAAATGATGTTTAAGATGATTAAACGCTAATTGAAAATGAGTTTCTTCTATTTTAAGAGAAAATGTTCTGGCAGCATGTAGAGTTTGTAATGCTTGTGTGTGTTGTAGTTCTTTCTCATATGCACAGTATATATGCAATAAAACCACAAACAATCGTCTTAAATTGTATTTCTTTTTGTCCTAAAAAGTGTTAGAAAGTCTCAAACAGATTGAACCTGCAGAAACCTTGTATGAAAAGATTCCGATAGAACAGATGTATGCATGTATTTGAAGGTTTTGTGCAAAACAGAAAACACAACACTTTAACTGCAGTGACAAATACAATGGGTTTCTTGTCTCTGCTTGAAAAAATAAAAGCTTTCCCTTTGTCTCCCAGCTGTGAGCTTTTAATCCTACGAGCTGTAGGATGTTCGGTTTTAGTTAGAGGTAAATTAAATAGCTCCGACACGGTGGAGAGAGAGAGTTCAATAAACCGTGAGACTGATATCAGTGAGATCAAATTACACTGGATTACAAACATGTTGTTCTGTGTGAATCCCTGGTGTCACTAACAATTGTAGAGAGGAAACAGCTGAAAGCAATTGTTGCTCAAAAACTCACGACAATGAAATGATAAAGGTGATCATCAACTTATTTTTGTCATTTAGCAAAATGTTGAGTTTCGTATCCAAAGGTCTCCACAGTGAAAGAATCAACAGCTGCTGCATATTTTTCTATATCAGGGGCCACAGTTTACACAAAGGGGCCAATTATCTGTCCAACATCCAACTCCTGATCCAGTAATTCCGCGTTCTACAGCACTGTTGGTGCTATAGCTTTGACAGAAGTCACACATCAGCAATGTATTTTACAAATGGTTCCTGTTCAAGCACATTGTGCTATTCAAAAAACAAATGACTTTGTTTATGTTTTTTTAAAGACCACTGACAGGACAGGGCCACTTCAGGGGCCAATCAGATTTGAGCTGGTGCCCCTGGTCGACACACATTAAGGGTTATTGTGTTTTGATGACCATGACCTCTTCAGTTTGAATTGTTTGAAGTCCTCATAAACTAGTTTGATTGTAATTTACACAAAAACATAGTTAATTTGAAAAGAAACAAAGCTCACTGAACATTTGTTTTCTGATTGTTCCTCAGAAGTAACTCGTTCTCTGTCATTTCCTCTTACATCTGAGCTGATCCGCAGGTCGAGCATGAAATGAAGTCTGTATAGATATTCAAATGGCTGTCAGAATAAACGTGATGAGAAAGTCTTAAAGAAGAAATTGGATCCGTCTTGGCTTGACTTTGAAGATTTGAGGTCGGAGCAGGGATTGCATCTGACTCTTTAGCATGAGCGCACACAAACAGATTGACTGAGAAACTTGAATGGACACATGGCCTCGGGCGCAGCAGCGCATGCAATGCTGCACATCACACTCTGCTGTTGTGTACTGCAAGTGAGCCTCCATTTACAAGTCTTACCACTGGCATTTATCTCTCCAACCCCCACACACAACTGTGACACCATTACAGTAGCAGTGTGTGTTACACTGTGTTTCAAGGTTTAAGCAGCAGACAGCATCATTATGTTTTCAGCTCTGTCGGTGATAACTCAAGAAGAACCTGCTTTCTTTGATAAGTCACACATCAAACTGCTGTTTTAACAGAAATGTGTCGTGTTTGCTTAATGCAGTGGTGTCAAACTAAATCACAGAGAGGACCAAAATAAAAACTGCGACTACGTCGAGGGCCAAACAGGGTCTTAACATTTATTAAACAGGATAGACAGGATATTGGATAAAGTGCAAAAAGAAAACATATTGAGGTGGGCCGCATTCTTCTTTTATTTACATGTGCAAGAGCTGGATGTTTGGCATCCTTTCTTGGCTGTCAGTTCATTAAAGTTTGGGGTTAGGTTTGGTCCGGTGGAAACTCTCAAGATGGAGTGAAGGTGCATCAGTGAGACAACTCCTGGGTTTTTGTTCATCTTCATCGCAGAGAAAAGCGTGTGGGCGAACTTGACGGGGCACAGACAGCAGCACACAGGCACAAGGATCTCTGGAACACTGGAAAAATAATTTAATAACACCAAATAGGATAGTGGAGATTAGGGCTGGCTCGCTCTGTGTGCGTCTAGCCGGGCATTGCGCACTGCAGCTCGGCCTGTGGAGCCTATGGTGCTCGCCGCCTGGCTCCTACTCGGGGAGGGGAGCTTAGGGCTCGCTCGCTCCGTGTGTGTCTAGCCGGGCATTGTGCACCGACCCGCCATTTAAGATAAACATATGATATTTTATCGCGGGCCAGATATAATTGTACCACGGGCCGAAGGTGAGTTTGACATCTCTGGCTTAATGAGATTGAATAAATAAAATGTAGAAAAAGTTGCAGTAAAACAGTGATTCTGTGAAACTAGTGTTTGTGTCTTTATGAGAAACACATTCCATGACTGAGCCGTAAACTGTAAAGCAGCAGTGACGAGTGTGGTACATGATGTTGTGGAAGCAAAGGTCACTGTGTCAGTCAACTGCCACTGCTTACAGACACACATGCACACACACACACACACACTAAGATGCACACACAACGTTGTGTTTGTCTGTTAGTTTGCAGGATTACACAAAAACTACAGAACAGACAACATGTTTAAAGACAGCAGAGTTATATTTCTTCAAGTCATCATTTCATTTATTTGAGGCTTTTAAACTCAACATTCCCTGCATGTACCTCTGGCGTCACATATTTTAACATACAATTCTCTCCTCCGCTTTTCCTGATAAAGATAATGAGAGTGAGATGCAGGATGATGAGCAGAAACGAGTAGAATCGTTTGAAACAGCAGTGAAAGTGGTGAAATGAAGAAGGACAAAAGAGGTGGATTCACATCTCTGAATGTGTGTGTGGCTTCAGATGAAGGCCTGTGCTTCATTACTGCTCCCTGGCTCCAGCGGCCCCTGCAGCACACATCATAAAGGCTGCTCATTATCCACTGAGTCCTCATGAGGCCGCTCAGTCCCACTCGGTGCTGCAGGAACCCCGCTCCGCGCCGCGCCGCCAGGATAATCCCCCTCCCGACTCGCCCAGCTCCCCGCAGACTGCGAGGACCCACGGTGGGGACGTGCAGGGAAGCTGTCTGTGTTCTGACGGTGAATCACAGAGACGGTTCCTCAGCTACCAAACACTCCCATTCGATGCACTGTGATCAATAACTCATTGAGGGATCATGCCTGTCTTCCTGTGTAATGTATTCCCCTAATTATGAGCACGGCCTCCTCAAAAATTGGTTTGTCTCTGGAGAAGCGGCTAAATTGTTCAAAGGTTCAGAAAACTCCTTGACCTCTGAACTAGAAGGATTGGCTTCCTTGGAGTTCCATTGAGATGGATCTGAGATAGCTTAGTATTATTGATTCTGCACTGTCCAGAGATATCAGGCATTTTTTAAATAATCGATTACTCTTGAGGAATCGTTCCTATAGAATTTCTTGTGCTTAAGAGGAGAGTTTAAAATCCAATCTAGAGGGAAGAGTGAGAGAAAATGAAATATTGTCTCAGTTGATCTGCACACTTGAACTTTGAGGAATCTCTTCTAAACATCCATGACAACCAATTGACTTTGCTCATGCAGTTCGGTTCTGACGTTGTTTTGAATGAATGGCCTGAAATTCTCATTCTGTCTGTATTTGAAATGACAAAGACCCTGAAAACTCCTGTTTAAATTTGAAATAACATGAAAAACAGGGTTCAACTGCAGCAATTGAAGTTAGTAAAAACAGTTTACCTTTTATTATTATTATTATGACTTTTAACTTTGAATATCTGCTTCGGAGAATCTGTGGACTTGATTTGATCAAGTTTAGTTGTTAGAGCCAGAAACACGAGCAAACAACCCTGACATCGCATTTTTATTCAGTTATGTTTTCATCTGCGTTTGTTTGTAAATTTGCAGGATTACGCAAAAGCTACTGGAAAAATGATCATTAAAGTTGGTGGAAGGATGTGATGGGGTCAGGGTAGAACAGGAAGCGGATCCAGTTGAGTTTTTTTCTACTTTCTTTAAAGGTCCAGTGTGTAAGATTTAGGTGAAAGGGTTTTTTGGCAGAAATTGAATATAAAAGAATCCTGGTGATGTTTTCACTGGTGTGTTTCATCTAAATTGTATAAATTGTTGTTTTCTTTACCATAGAATGGCCCTTTATATTTAAATACTTTATATTTACATGGAGGGGGGGTCCTCTCTGTGGAGGCTGCCATGTTTTTTTACTGTCGTCCAAACTGGACAAATTAAAACCTTTTGAGTTTTCATGACAACTGAAGTTCACCACAGGTTCTCTTTCATGTTTGGAAGGAGAGGGTGAAATGAGGAGTATTCAGCTGCAACATGAAACTTCGCCTCTAGATGTCACTAAATTCTACACACTGAACCTTTAACATAGCTAGATTGGGTGTGTCATAAGGGAACACAAGGGAAACGCACCCACTTTAAACCAATGAGAAAAGAACAGACAAACACAATCAAAGCAAGTGGACCCAACTTTTTTCTAACTTGGGTAGAAACTAGTGTGTTAATGTCATATCATCATATCGCTCTGAGTAGGATGCTGATGATTTCCCTTTTCTCATTCATTTCTCAGAATTTTACTTTTTCAGATTCAGTCTATACACCTCAAAATAGGAAATGTAAATTGATATGGGCTTTGAAAATACAGATATTCCCAATAAATCAATAGGAGGGTTTGTGTTTCAGCTGATGTCATCTTCCTCACATCTCAGAAAGCTGATCATTTTTGTACAACTCTGCTTTTGTCCAAAATATTTGGGAGTGTTGCCCGAATGTGCCACAGTGAGGCAGCAGAGCTCTGTTGTATTGGACGATCTGCTTTGTTTTCCTCCGTCATGCCTTTTTCTTCTGCTGGGCATATGATCAATATGCACAACAGCCCGTCAGTGTTTGCACTGTGGCACAGTGTCCTTGCTGCTGACGGAAGGTTTTTACCCGACACTTTGCATCGTTAAAGAAAAGACTGATCATCTACTGAGACTTGGTGTTGGAAGGCTGTTAAGTTGTTGTTGTTTGAACCACAAACCCAGAG